AAAAAAACGTCTTTATTTCAACTAACCATCATTCTCATCAACGACGTCATCATTATTATGGTCGTCATCAGAGGACATTATCATTACCATCAATACTGCCGTCATTAACACCGTCATATCTTCACCATCATCTTTTTCCTTTCCTGAGGCGGTCATTAATAGCAGCGGTGACCGTATCCTTCAAAGCAGTTTGTTTGATGTTACTCTGTTTAGATAAGCTTAGCCTTAGAAATCGAACGTATTTTTCAACTTTAGAACCGCTTATTGTTTGGGAGTTTCAGTGCAGTGGTACAAGTGGTCAGCTCCAAATGACACAATTATTTCCTTGTTTTTCACCTTTGATCTCTGAAATTTAAGCTAAAAACGAAAAAAAGGTGGGGTATTTTGTAAGGAGTGAACACTGTATCATGCCTCTTCATCTCCATTTCCTTCAACATCATCATAAAAAAGAAACTCCTATAAATAAACTTTATTCTCGCTTCATGGTCAAATTAAATGGGCTAAAATTGCAAATGGCTTAATGGAAAATGGGTTCACAAATAGTAAAAATAATGGTAATGCTAACAAGAGCGGAATAAAAGGGAAAGGAACAGAACAAAAACCAATTAGGGCCAGTGGTCGAAGATCCTATAAATTCTTGAAAAATGACGAAAATGCATGCTTAGCTAAGCGAAAAAAAAAAACGAACACTGGCACTTTTACTGAATTTTTTAATATTTTTACTAAAAACAATGGGAGAAAAAGAAGCTGGAAGACTTAAGGAAAAGGATACGGCCAAAGTATGAAGAACCAAAAGGTGGGTTTGCAAAATTAAGCCTAGAAGTTAAGACTGGTTTCCATAAAAAAAAATTCAAGACATTGTTCTCCGAAAACGAGAGAGGAAATATTATTGAAGCAAATAAGGCCAGCAACCCTCTTGCTCTTCGTTTTTAATAACAGTTGCGGCAGCAAAAACTCTAGGAAATTATTGGGAAGAATGGAATGCGTAAAATAGGTATTAATTTTAGCCGAATCGTTTCAACATTTAGGAATTGTCTGTTTAGTGTTTACAAAACTTAGAAATTTCTATTCAGCTTATACTTCAAGGTTTTACAAAGATTCCCTTTTTTTTTTGCGAATAAAACCAGTCAGTCAGTACCTTTGTCACCTGCTGCCACTTCCACTTCGTTTCAATTAGCTGTAGTAATCGGAAATAATTGGAAATAACTACTTATCTATTTTTCATAAGCAGTTCTTTTATTAGTTTGAAAAGCAAATAATTTTGGCACTGATTACGCTGCCAAGATACAGATGAAAAAGAAGATAGAAGAAAAGAAAAAGGAAAAGCATATTCAGTTTTGTGCTATGACTTTTTGTCTTCATTCCTCCCTCAAAAAGCCTCCTCCATGGACACATATATAAAGCCATGAAAACAGTGGATACTGAGAAAAACTTTTTCACTAATATTGACTTCTCAGCTTCGATAAAAAAGATACATAAAAACAAACATAACTGGTGATATTAATATTACTAAACAGAACAGATGAACAAAAATTTTTTAACTGGACCATTACAACACTCTCACTCACTCCAGTAACTTCTACCTCTTTTTTCCATTCAATTCCTTTGTTTTACTAATCTTTCAGTTTTTAGCTCTTCGCTTTTCATTTGTTGCCTCTTTAAAAAGCAGTGCTTTCTTTGAAAGGAGAAAAACTTCAATACATCGGCTCATCACTCATTTATCTTTTGTACTGCACTTTTTGGTTGGTCACTATGTAATAAGGTTTTTTTGCCAAAATCAGCAACAGAAAATCAACGGCAACAGTCCGTTGACAAAGATAGCAAGGAGTGAAATGCAATTAGTGTATTTTAATTACGGTCGTTTCCCATTTGTTTACTTTGCTTCAGTTTTTTTCTTAGTTCTCATTCGATAAATGTTATTTACATCAGCAAAACTATTTTTTTGGCTTTACTTTCATTTAGCAGTCATTGCTTCCTGCACCACCTTCCCAAATTCCCCGTTTTTTCACGAGTTTTTGAAAAACTGTCAAACTATACTTGAATAAGTGTCAAATTTATTTCAGTCAAGAGATTTGAAGTTCATGTGACATGCCAAAATTGGTAACGCGTCTGTGCTTGCATCAGTACAAATGCGATACACATTTTTTTCACTTTTATTTTCTACTTCATTTCAAAATTTTAGAAGTTATTTTACTCATTCACTTTTTCGCTTACATCTTACTGAAATTTACAGTAAAGGTAGGAAAAACTGAAAGTAAATGATCAAAGAAGATGTATCAGTCTGCTAACAACTTTAACAAAAAAAAAAAAAGCAAAGAGGACTTATGAGAAAGCACCGGGTAACGAACAGCAGTATTCAAATAAATATTTTTGATATGTCCATCTTTCTGCAACATTTGCTCATGTTACACTTATTGAAAAACTTAACATGTCTGGATAAAAGTAAACGGAGGAAAAAAATTTATGGGATTAAATAATAGGTTCCGCAAACAATCCATTTTAGAAGCTCTGATTTGGTGAATCAGTTTAGTTAGACCGTTAAAAAGATTTACAGTTTTCCTTCGTAAAGTTTTTACAACTTAACCTCAGTAATTGGTGTAAATAGTGGTATAAATGGAGTAATGTTATGTCATTTAGGTTTTGGCTACGGATATGTCTAAACATATGAGCCTTCTAGCCGACTTAAAAACTATGGTAGAAGCAAAAAAAGTTGCGGGTTCATCTGTGCTCACTTTAGAAAAATATTCGGATCGAATACAGGTGAATAAAAAATTAGTATTTCTAGCCAAATATCAGTTTTCTTCCGCGTTGGTGTCAGTGGAAAAAGATAATCAAAATCAGATGAGAAACGAGGATCATCATTATGTTAAATTACCCTACCAAGATACACGATAAGCTTTAATGCCGTAACCAACACAGGTATTACAATCAATGATTCACCTCGCTGACCTTTCAAACCCAACGAAGCCGATTGATTTATACCGTAGCTGGAATCAAAGAATTATGGAAGAATATTGGCGACAAGGTGATCGAGAGAAGGATCTCGGTCTTGACTTGTCACCAATGTGCGATCGTTATAACGTTACTCTAGAGAAATCTCAGGTTTTCCTTTCTAACTTTTTTTTTCTCGTGTAACGTTCGTTTAGTTATTTATTCCTAGCGAGCAAAAGAGGTAGCGACGTTGCAATAACTTGCCCGTGTTTTAGGTTGGATTCATCGACTTCATTGTGCATCCAATATTTGAAACTTGGGCTGACCTTGTTGTTCCACATGCTCAACATATTTTAGATCAACTGGAAGTTAATCGAGAATGGTACACAACAAATACCATATTGTTTATATTGCTTTGAAAAATGACTGCAATCTCTATGCATCTAAAAAAAATAATTCGGTGTCCGACAAAGAGGAACTGTTTTGAAATTATAGGTACCAAGAAAGGATCCCCGAAGAGCAGCAGGATGCAAGGAACAATGAAGGTAATGATACACGCAGTGGTGGTGACTCTCCCGACGAAACTTAGCAACGTGAAACTGAATTACAGTCTTATAATACTTTCAAACAATATTTACACTGTTTTTTGTTCAATATGACGCTTTCATTTTAATGTTCTGGCAAATTTAGGCATTATTCAGAAACTTAGCGTGTAGGAAAAGAAGAGCTTTATTTAAAACTTTGTTAATGGTAATATTGATTTCTTCCTAAAAACTCGTAGCTTTAATGAACTCATCAGTTTCTAAAATTGTTTTTTTGGAACTTATGCGGGCAATCCTTTTTTGAAAGTTACTTTAGAATTTCTTTAATCAAATAAGGGAAAAAATATTTAGCTGAACAGTTCCAAAAAGTGAAGAGTGTTTTCCCCGTGATAAAAAACATTTGTGTGATTAATTAATTTGAAGATTCTTCATGATTTCGCAAAAGAAAAATATGCTTATTTTTATATAATAAATAATTTTAGGTTTTTATTTTTTTTGATAAAGTTTTTCATGGATGTTCCGGAAAGCGCAAAAAAAAGCTTCAGAAGTGTGAATAGAGGAAAGTATACACAAAGTTTTTCTATCCACACATCCCTTCAGTAAGAATCGATAATCGGTTTTGACAAAATGTCCACTACTGACAAACTATAGCGAGATGAAAGTAGGTTTTTGTGTACGCAAAAGCTCTGCCACAGATTCCAACAAATGAAACAAAAGAAATTTTCAACAAAGTAAGAAAAAGGGGCATCAGTGTTTTTATGCAGGAAAAGTAAAATTCAAAAGATGGCTCTTTGTACGTATAAATATTTTGCTCATTTTCATAGGCAAAAGTAAGTCCTAGTTGGATTTTATAGGGAAAGAAAAAGAAATTAAACACTGTGCTAAACAAGAGCAAATCAATGTTCGGATTTAATGGTGATTAAATTATTATGTTCAAAGAACTACCAAAAAAAGAAGACTGTATGAAATCGCAGAGTTACAAAAGCCGTAGTTTCGTAGTTTGTTCACTCAACTTTTCTTTTGAACGTCCACTGATTGAATCCAAGTCTATGATTTTTCAAATCCCATCCAGCAAGACGGCAACCATTAAAAAAGTGATCAACAATAGTGGTAGTTGGAAATCTGTATAAAAAACTGCTTTAGGTTATTTTCTCAGATTTATATGGAGCACTCTACTGCAGTGTTATAATCAAGAACGTGATAAGAGACCGGCAATCTAGGCGCCTGTGTATTAAAGAGCTTCGTTTATTATTAAACTAACGAATTAAAGGCTTCGGAAGCTAAACCAAACGTCCTTCTTCATAATCAATGTTAAAATTTTACAAGAAAATAAATGCAACTAACTTTCCTGTCGCAAGAGCATATTCCGCATAAAATGCTCCCCTGACCTGAGCTTCGAAAGAACTACCAGAAGAAATAGCTAAAGACGCAGTTTGAGACTCAGCTTTCGCTCCATCATACATAACAGCAAAATCGGTTTCCAAAAACCTTGCAGCAGTGCTCGAAGTAGGCGTCAAAACGTCAATGAGTGATACGCCATAATGTCTTACACCGGGAAGCCGCTGGAACAGCGGCTCACGAGCATTCGCTTTTGAAACTGACAGTACTGAACCGTTTTTTATATATGCCCTAAAAAAATAACTGCCAAACATGAGATACTTATTTGAAACTTCTAAAATAAAATGTTTTTTTCCGACTGTCCATATATTTAATTCACAACCTTGTTACTACGTAAAGCAAGCTGCGATTGAATGTTCTCAAATTTAAAGCCATTACAGCACGATAGTTAGCAGATAAGTGGATAAAAGTGAATAAGATGTATAAAACCCAAGTAACAGTAATATTTCCACTGATCAATGGTAAGAGTATTAAACTGTACAATAAAGCGGAAACATTAACAAGAGTCTCTTGTGCACTATCTTTGGCCGCCACATCAGCGGCATTCCCAATTATAGCCTGAAAAACTAAATGCCATAAAACCAAACAAGTTAATAAAAAACCATGGCAATACAGCAACCTTTCTATAAAAAATAGACCCTTCAAACAGATTTTCTGATAACCGGTAAACTTCCAGTTAGAATATTTAAAAAACCTGATGCTGGACGACCACTGCGCGAGTTCCACATCCAGCAACACCAACGATAGAACGTGCTACAGATGATATGCAAACAATAAATGTGAAAACCCGCGGAAACATAGGAGCGAAAAGGTCCAACGAAAAAGCAACATCGTTGAAAATATCCGCTACTAATCGCCAAGTTTTGCAGTCAGAATCTAGTTTTGAACTACTGTACCAAGTAAAACCAATCTTCGAAACCATGCCCAAACCATCTTTTAACAACCAAGCAACGGCGGCAGCTAACACTGATGCACTCTTAAAAACTCAGACTCAATCAAACATAAAAACTAAATTTAATACTTGTAACTGTGAGGAACTTTGCAGTGACTTGAAATACTGTTTTTAATTCTTGGAATAGTAAACACTTTCTACTTTATTCCCCACTCCAGCTCCACGAAGTATAGCTTCAGTAGCTAGTGCAGATGTCATCGAACTTGCAAACGCCTGCAAAGTGTCCCACTTCTGGTACGCGATGTAATCAGGAGAAACGGAATTAGGATATCCTTTTGGTAAAAACAAGTCTTGCAGTATTAGTGTCAGTGAAGATTGTTTAGCGGGAGAAGCAGGCTTCGTTGAAAATATCCTGCAGCCTCTTATTTCGGCGACAAGCGCTCCCTCCTTACGGTGTTCAATTAAATATTCTCCCATCTACCTGAAAACAGCAAATACTCAAAAATCTGAATCCTGAAGAAAAAACTTACCGAGGCGCATGGCTTTACATCAAAAATTATTTCTGAAGCGCCCTAAAAATCAAGAAATGCCGTTTAAAACACCTGACGACATGACCGCTTGTGCAGTAAAAAATAGTGGCCACCAACTAACAAAACTGTAGCAGTTCATCTAAATGAACTACCAGCAAGTAAATGCCGGCGCATAAAAATAAAAATGACAATTAAACAATCTTCTGACTGTAATTTGCAAAAACAAAAGTGAGATTATAGGCAAATTAACCATTTCAGTCAAAAATAGCTAAACTTAATAATAGACAACAGTCATAAAGCTTCAGAACTTTTTATTTTTTATTTTTTGCAAAAGCAAGTACATGAAAAAATGTTAATAAAATACCCATAAGACAATAGCTGTAAAAGAAAAAACGGAATGTCATTGTATTCAGAAAACAGTAACGAAGCAAACGCAACAAAACAAGAACTTCTTTAAAACCTTAAGGCGACAAAATCCCTGATTACAAGGAATGATCACACGACAAAACAATTCGAGCAACAGGAAGTAGGTTTAGTAAAAGAACCTAAAAAAACGCTTTTAAACTTATATAAATTATGAAACTGTTCGTCTTCAAACTAGTAGCTAAGAGAACTTTATAAAACTGCTTACGAAAAAATATATGTGACAATAATTGTAAATGATTAATGACAACCGCTTTTTGTAAAAACATAACATCTAAAAAGAAAGTTCAAGCGACCAAGAACTGTTTATTAATAATGAAGTATTACTTTTTTACGATGATTAAAAGCAGATGAAAAGATACCGCGAAAGGAAAAAAGAAAATTTCAAACACACAGTGTTAAAACACTAGAAATACTTCCATTAGTACGATTTTGCACCAAATTTCTACGGCTTTTCGAATCACGTCTCACGGAATGCAATCTTGAACGGCTCAAAATCGACCTCTATTGAATGCACAGAAAGACCACTGTAAACCTGAAAATAGTGTTGGTTGAGTGGCATTTACGCCACCACAGACAGTTTATACGAAAAACTTAAAAAATGGAACTAATATGTGAGCAGCCAATCAGTTCTGCAGTTTAGCTTACCACTGAAGATTGTAAATGTTGCCTGACATCATCAATATCGTGTCCTTCTGAAAGCCAAACATTCAGAAAACCTCCACCGCCAGCGCCAGCCAACCATGCACATTCAATTAATCTACTTTCATTCAAGTCCTCAATCAAACGTCTAACAAATGCTGGTTCACAAGTCGAAGCAATCGCTTTTTTATCAGCATAATACTGTCTAACATCGTTAAGCGGAAAAGAACCTAATAGCCAGTCATACTTAGTAGATGAAAAAAAAATTCAGCACAACAGGAAAGAACAACTACAAATAGTACTTTTAGCAAACAATTTAGCACTATTTTCTGCAGCATTTGCTAGAGATTCTAAAACAGATGTCAACCTTTCATCATTTGCATACCAGCTACGAATGACTTCCTGAAACAGGCAACTGATTATTTGCAGCGATGTTTCCAGTGTGTCACGAAAATAAAAACAACTTGGCAAGCAGCCAGCAGCTGGCAAGTTATTCCAGTAATGAAACTTCTTCATTTATTCTCTTTCCACGCGCTAGATATCAACTGAATCATCAAGTAGAAGTATACTTATGTGCAAACTTATTGCTTTGATGAAACAACAGTTTTGCTTTTAAAGTGAAATAATTGGAGGGTTTTGAACGGTTTATGGTACAAAATGGTATTAGCCTCCAAAAACATCAGCAGCACACACGTTTTAATTTTCCTAAATTATTTGGTTTTTGAAGGCTGTGGATGTATCCAAAATTTGTAAAAGGTTGTCAAATTCAGGTGCATGTCAAATTTTTTTAAAGGTTGACCCAAAAAGAAATATACACGTTTGTCACAATAATTTATTCAGTGAAACCGTTGACGTACTATTTGAGCATAAACAAATGGATTTAAAAATATCCAGAAACCAATAAGAATACCTTCGTTTACCTGTAGTACGTTTTTTGCGAGACGTGTCTGACCAGTGTATATCAGGACCAATCTACGGGTAATCATTGAGACGAAGGAGGATTCACAAGGGATCTTTTCAGTGACGACACTTTGTTTCTCCTTAGAAAAACGGGAAATTTTTATACCCGGTATCACACCACCAACTTGGTCCTGCCATCCGCCACCTGCCGTCAAATACTGTTCGGCTAATAAAACCTGAATTAAAGTTTCGACTTTACATCATTAACGTAAAGCATCTAGCGTTTTCTAGTGTACATAGATTTGAAGCGTAACATACTGCGTGGCAAATGTTATCTGTGTTGAAATGAACACCCATAAGCTTCCAAATACCCGCAATTAAACAGGCTGCTAAGATGCTGCTTGTGCCAAGACCTGAATAATTTTCATCAGTTTATACAAGTGGAGGCACACCTCTGGCAGCAAATTACCAAACTCAATATTATTTGAAATAAGAAACGGTGGTGTAACTAAATTACAAAGTATCTACCAGATCCATGCGGTAGTAATGAGCGGGTCGTAACAATTAATCCCTTTATTCGGTCACCAAAAGTACGCTGAAATGTGGTACTTATGTTCTGGTCATCTCGTTTTATAAACTGGGCTGCGAGCAGTACTGCACAAATAAGAGACCCTGTAAAGTAATGTTCTGAATTTTATATATTTTAAACTTAATTCAAGCAGAGATTCAGACAGAAAGTTAATCTTAGGGACTTGTGTCCATATACTCTTTTCGTTAACAATCCAGTCTAGTATTTAGGGACCTCATTTACCAGGCAAAGAAGGTTTGCTGGAGAGATTGAGAATTTCGTCGATGGCAGTTAGCCTTAAATCCAGTTCTTTCAAAATAATACCGACCTGAGTTGCGGAAGGTCGAATTTCGCACGAAATAGGTTTCTTGAAAGAAAAAAATGCTTATTTTCTTCACTTTATGGTGAAAAAGTAATGTGAAAAGCAATCTTAAATCACCTTTCCGTCAACTGTTACAGCTATATTTACTACAGCAGTATGGGCAACTTGCATTGTTATAGGAGGAGTATCAGTCCAACCACCAGCAACATCAATGCGACACGCTGAGGAAACAACCACATTACTGTTTACACCTTGGCCTTTTGGAATCGAAGGTAAATGCTAGCAATGAAGGAATGTAACTGAGTGAGACTTTAGATTGCTCACATAAGATCTGCAAAGCCGATATTAGCATAAAGAGAATAAAACTCACTTTGAGGCAAAATTTCATAACGTTCCTTTGAATTAAAACCTGCCCGGCAGCTTCATAGTGTCGAGCTGAAAAATTATATTCAATTATCGTTTTAAAGTTAATGTATTTTAACTTTTTCCATGAATTTTGTTGCCAGTGGCAAAAAGGTAAATAAAGTGAAAGAGTGTTTTCTATCCAATTTCTACTGGAATCCACAATAGCTTGGTAAAAAACTGCAGTAAAATTTCATTATAATAAAAATGTTTGTTGAGACTTGCCTGCTCGAATCAACTTCTGAGGTGTTCCTGTCCAGTTAAAAAGTTCATTCAATAATAAGTTTAAGCCAGTTCTCAAATCGCCCTAGAGAAAGCATCAACTGCTGTTGCTAGAAGGTAATTACGACTTGAAAATACCAATGCAACAACATTTAAAGAAATTACATCATGGATATGTTGAATACAGTTTGCGAATGCAATATTTCCAGCTGGACCGCTACGTAATCCACCACGCTGTCGAGCTAATAAAGCAAGAACCTCCGCAATACAAAATAAGGCTCGGTCAGCAAACAAAATTCCGTTTTTTTCCAAGCACACTGCAATTCTCGACAGTATAAAAATCAAAAATTTCAAAGACATCTAATCAGAAATCGAAACCTACAAGTGTGTAGGTATTGAATAAGAGCGAATGCCGACGACGAGTCCTGAGAAATACAAATTGATTTAAGGTAAGGTTGGACAGAGCAGTGCTCGCCACGCCTAATAACGTCGCCAATGACTGTATACCACCGTTGAAACAGTTTCATTCTGAAAATCTACTGTCTTAATACGTCAAGTTCTAAAAAGGCCAAATAAAGCAATAGTTTTTGAAAGAATAGGTTAAAGAATTGGCAATTCGGCTATGGAACAAGAAACAAGAGGAAGTGTTCGACACCTGTTGAAACGAAAGCAGCTCTCCAACGGAACCTCTGAACCAACTGAAGTCTATAAACATTAAATGTTTTAAAATTACCACTGCAAAATGAATTAAAAGAAACCCAAAAATTTATATATTTTTGGTGCAAATTAATGTCTTTTTCAATTTGCCTTCTGAATTTCTGTTTGTTCACTGAAGTTATAAAGTGCAACAAGTTTATAAAAAACCGTTAATCCTGGCAAGTGTAGCTGATTTTCAATTTCATCCATATTTTTTGGTTCCCTTCCATTCCATAATTGCCAAAATTCAATAACATTTTTAATAGTCGGCGGTTGGAAATAATGATATTTTAGCACGTCGAGAAAAACTGAAAAAAAAAAAAGATTTGTTAATGCTTGTCAGATTAAGTTTTTAACAGAAAAAAAACAGTGAAAATCAAAGAAAAAAAAAGTAGAAAAACAAAAAAAAATATTTTATAATACTGATACCTGCATAAGCTGTTATATGTGAAAATGTATCGTAAAGAACTTCTTTAGCCTGAATAAATCTTGAATTTGGTTCGGCTTCTAAATTTTTTCCTTCTTCATAGACAAAACTATCTTTTTTCATGCCTTCGGCAGCAGCAAGAACGAAGTCAAAAAATATTGACAACTGAAAGCAAATGCTTTATTTCAAATCAGATGAATAATCATATATATTTGAAAAAAATATATATATCTGCTGAAAGATATAGCGTTTGGTTTACACTCTGTAGGAACTGAATGAGTGAAAAAGCGAGGGAGCACTTTTCAGACCTTTAATCCGGGGCTACCATTATCGACTCCATAGTAAGTTGATGAAGATAACGGATATTTGGTATACAGTGAAAGAAATGTTTCGGCAGTTCGAACCGGCATAAACAACAGTGTCATCACCAACGGTACATCATTAGTATCAGTATATCTATCAGTACAGTAATCTATCCCAGTAATTTTCATCTGTAACAAATAAAATTTGTTCCTGTAAAAACCGTTTTTTTGAGTCATATTTTTATCACGAAAAAACAGTAGCACATTAAAATATAAATTATTCTAAATTCTTTTTTAAAAAAAATTGTTTTTTAAAGCATAAAAAGAATTTGCATGCGTATATAATTTTGAAAAAACTTTACATCCTCATTTATACAATAGACACCAGAATTTTTTGATAATCGTGGATTTGCTTTAAACGTAAATGCAAATAATGCTCCCGTCTTATCCTTGTACGTCTCCGGAATTTGCAATTTCCCAAACGACCAAAATGCATCTCCCCCAGTAATCCATACTCCATTACCAAAGTTTGATACCAAACGGTTCAGTTCAGCTATTTGATGAAGGAATACTGTGTAAGGTACACGATAGCCTGTTGTTGTCACCAAATCTGTACCAAGCCATAAAAAAGCTGAGCCGCATCTGTTAAAGGGATAATCTCGTCCCTAAACTCCGTCAACAACAGTAAATAATTTTTTAAAATTTTTCATTCTTCTAATTTACATTTAATTTGAGGCAACTGATTTGAGAACCAATTCTAAACTATTTAGAAGGCACTGTAAAAGCAAGTAACAACAATTGCTATTAAAAACTAAGATAAACAGCTTTACAAAAAAACGTTAAGACCAATACTTATACAAAATTCCCTATAAATATTTTATAGCAAAAATTATACTAATAACATGTTGTTAGGGCAAAACAAATATTGGCTACAATATCAGGCCCAATGTAGATATAATGGTGAAGAATCGGAGCACTAAATTTCAAAAAGTTTTACAATTCCCCTTCAATAATTTTTCATTGCAGCCTTAAAAGCATTTCAATTTTTTGTTTGAAACGCTTATACTGTCAACAATTTCTGTTTTGACTACAAAACATAATTACAGGATGAAATCGTATGAAATGCTTATTCTGAGAGACTAATTCATATAGATTTTGAGAAAGAAGCTTGATGTTGATGAAATTTTTAAACAAAGTAATAAGCAACTCTCAACTGTTAAAAACATTGTTTACAGTAAAATTTCTCCTATACTGTTTCAATCAATCTGAGCTGCCTAAAAACAGTGAACGTTGGATCCAAACTATGTGGTTATAGAAAAAAGTAAGAAGGCAATATTTTCATTTAAAAATCAAAAACTACACCTAAAGTTAGAGAAATACACTGTAAGTAAGGAAGTTCATTTTCAGATATAGCTATCCGGTAAGCACTGATCTTTTCTTCCAACCACACTTATTTTAGTTAATGAAACAATCTATGGAATATCCTCGAACCATAGTTACCTTTCACTTAGCTAATAAGAAGTACGGTGTTTATGGCTTACTTTTTCAAAAATCTAATACTTACACAGTTGATAATTAAAATTTTACTGTCTTCTAAAGCATCTCCGCTCAACGAATTAATGCCACGTAAGACGCATAATTG